CGTGTGATAATAATCTCGTGGAAATTGAAATGACGAGTGAAGATAACAATTAATTATACTTTTTTGTTAGGTAAGTGAAGATAAATTAATTATAGTTTCTTCTCTAAATGTCCTATACCAAAGTTCGTGATTTAATGATACCTGATTGAAACAAATCAATCTTATGTATTACACCATCTTCTCCATTGATCTTCTCCATTGTGTTATTCTATACAAGCATATTTCATTGTTATTTTGTATGGATCTTTTTAAACGAATGTTTCAATCTTGTTTATTTGGAAGTGCTGCAAGTTTAAAAGCTCTGTTCTTTCCAATGAATTAAGCAACGTCTCTTAAGTCAGTGAAATTTTAAAATTACTTTGCTCGAGTAACCGTGAAGATTCTAGATTTTAATAAACTATAATACACGTTCGTAAACTATAATACACGTTGTTCATATCACGAAATGTAATCTGATTTTGTACTTTCATGTGGTGAGAGTGCGGAGTAAGCTCAAGTACGCCAGCGACGATTTTAACACCTGTGACAGAGAAGATTCAATGAGAGTACAAGAGTCAAAATAATCATGGAGCAGATGGATACATGCCACTTACGCTGCAGAAGCTGCCTAGTGACAATTCGATGAGCTTTCCAGCTCTTAATTTCGTGGAGTTATTTGAAATAGCGAATATCAGTATCAAACCGAGCGCTTTTCTTCTGGGCAAACGGTACCAATCGATCATGTAGGCCGACAGGCTGATACTCTTACACTGTGACATCAAGACACACGTAAATTCTAAATTCCTTTTTTCCCCGTTACTTTTTTTAATGGAATAAGCAAAATACCTGTTCGGATAAAATTTCACCGATGTAACACAGGATGAATATGTTGAACGTGAGGGATATGAGAAACGTGCAATAGGTCAGTGTCCCTAAGGCCTCGTTTTGCTCCCATTCCTAGAAAACTGACAACGAAATGTGACAGATGGAATTCTGGTGTATTAGAACGTCTCTTGGCGCGAGTTTCTTTACCGTGAGCAAGTAATATCCGAGGAAACAAATATTCATCGTACAGCCGACGACTTCAACGAAACATATCTCGTTAAGAAGCTCCTCGATCTGGGATATAAAACTGAAAATTGTTTGCAATTACACATTTGTTTAAACGGACGTAGCTGTACGTAATTCAAACATATAACTGTTTTTACCCTAGTATATATAGGTGATACTCCACTATTTCGCCTAATCGTTCTTTGCCAGAGTCCAGATCCTTTTCTCTTTCTAGGCCATCGACCAGCCTCTGAATTCTTGTCACGAGTATTTCGAATTGTCCACAGGCGTGCATGACGAACACAGCCGTCAGGCTACAGGCACCGACGGTCACCGAGTAGAGTACAAATCCGGACAAGCATTGCATCAGTTGCACGATCTCGAACGAAGGGCTGGTTCGTGGATCGAGGAGGCCGCGGTAAATGGGGAACGCCTGTGACCTCACCGTCTCGTTGTCGATAATCTCCGTGTGTTTGCTGCACAGCGGCATCACGGTGGTGTAGAAAAAGCCACCGGAATACATGAAACCAGCGCAGAAGGTAGCCAGGAATCTCCCTATCCTTGCGTTCTCTCTCATGATCCTTCTGTCTTCTATACTCTGCTGCGAGTGAGCGCGATACCAGTCAGCGCCAATGTCCTCGACGCATTTGCCAATCTTGGCACCGCGAGAGACTAGAATGTAATACTTGATCGCCGCCATCACGCAGAAACTGAGCGGGCCGATCATTTTGATTTTGGTGTCGAGGTCGCCTGTTTCGTCGAGGATGGTGCACAGAGCGCAAGGCACCAAGAGGAAACTTATCAGGAAAGAACTGATCAACGCGAGCATGATCGAACTGATCTTTTCTCTCGTGGTGACGCACAGAGAGATTGGCCAGACTCCGATTGGTTTCAGTAACCAACAGTTTATCTGGACGCTATACATCAAGTCTTCGTCCCATGAACTGGTCGGCGGATTTGCGAGGGCGACCATGTCGCGTGTAATGATGCTAACTGGTCGAAAGTGTACGTACAACTGAACGGACAGTGAACGGTGATACATCGATTGTTGAAACATTTCGGTATCGCGCATGTGCTAGTTTCATTGGTTTTTTCTTTGTCTCGATTCGTTCGAGCAACTCGCCAGTGCGGTTAAAGTTTCTTCCCAACCACCAGTTGATTCGATGCACGGAAGGGTGTGCATGCGTGCATGATGAAACCGTGAGTACGAACACATGCTAGTGCTACAAATGCTTCGTTTCTCTATGTAACAGAGTTTTTCCTTGTTATTTTTTTGTAAATACTGTCATTAATTTTTCAAATTCTTACTCTTTTTTTTAGTATCACGTCACGGAAAATATTTAAAGATTTATCGCGAGAATGCTTTGTAAATAATATTACTAATTTTCATCGTAGTTTTCAGTGTAACATATTTTAATAATTTATATAATATATTACATCGGTTTTCAATACATTTAAAAGTTTGATGATATAAATATGCATGTTCGAATAATTAATTTGAATTACACAGTACGTGAATAGAATGAAAGGAATAGGTACTTTTACAGTTTCAATTTGTTTCAGTTGAGAACTTATGAAGTTTAGTGGTACGGTGTATGTTGAATATATGTTTGACACACGTGCAGTCATACATCATGATTTGACGGAACATATTGAAATATGCAGAAGCAGTTTTTACTATCCGCAATTGCAAATGATTTCATGTATCCTTTCAAAAGTCAATATAGTTTGTATAGGATGAGTGAATCAAGAGTACATTACCAAATGTGTATACGGACATGTTGATGAAGTTTCCAAGTGGTCAGTTTAATCTCCGTATCAGACCATAAAATAATCATGATCAAATTAAAGATATCTTTGTTGGAGAGACAAGTGATACCAATTCGTCATGTACACCGTTTCACCAACTTTCTTATACTATCAGGAGTATATGATCAGTGAGTATTATCATCAATATAACAGATTAAATCGTCGTCTGGTTCATTTCTGTTCCGTTATTAGTTTATCGATATAACACACTAGAAAAATGTTGGAAGACATGCTTAAAACTATTATAATATACGTGACGTTATTTCGCATATCGTGGTTAGAGCATCGTCAGACCACGTTCCTGAGGAAAATGAAGCATTATCAATCAGACAAGTCATCTATGTTTTGTAGATTGATCTTATAATTTATTTTCTATTTTATAATTTATAATTTATAATTTCTGTGATACGTAAAAATTGCATATGTTCTTCTCTTCACATGATTTTGCTAGGAACTTACACAATTGCGAATTAAGCGTGCGTACAAAAATTTGACTAGCTTCATCAATGTGCAGTCAAGTTAATTTTGAAGAACAAAGAAACACAAACATATTCACAGATCTTTGTAAAGAAAGTGAAATTTCCAGTAATGCTCAAATTTAATGAAAGTATATATTCAGTGATTAATAGATAAAATTTTAACGATAAAATCTCAGAGACATCTACTTTCGCTCGACAGATTTACAAAATTGCGATTCATACTCGTTTGACATCATTTACGTACCATAAGCATGTAATACCCACCGAATATTTCTACGAAGCATATTCGGCTTATTATATGTTCTGTAGCGAATCGAGAGAAAATTCTTTGAATCGTCCGAGACGAAATATATCAGACTGCAGATGTGTATGAAGAGTGAAAGTACACCGAATGCATGCAATACAAAAATCCATGACTCATAAAACATAAATTTTCATAAACATCCTCACTCTAGATTTATATATATAACGAGAGTATACTTCACTGCTCTCATGTGGTTCGACGATAATATCTATTTGCTTGGCACAGTTATTCGTTTTTGTGTCTCACGCGTTAGTTGAATATGCAGGAATGACTTCTTACGTTTTATCTTTGTCGACAGGATGCTGACTGGAAAAGTTGTAAATGTTGATGCATGAGATGCTGTAAATATTGATTTCGAAATATAACATTACTCGTTATGGAATCACGAGTGGAAATCAACTCTTACTTTCTGTTTTTAACAGCTTTTTCAGTGCTTTTTAACAGCTTACCGCAGGCAATTGCGTATTTTTATAGATGTAAGGCACAATAGACAAGTGATCGATTCGGATGGTTCGATACAACACGATTGTCGACCGCGACAAAATTTTTTAAATTTGTGCAAAGCCGAAAGAACCGTCGATATGATTTCTTTTTTACGGAAACGACTGAGTTGAATATTTTGCATAAGTGAAATGTGTTCAGCATATGTCGCGTAACGCTTTCAAGCTATAAACCGATCGATTTGTCTAGTCGGTCTTCATAGTTGCGACTGCACGTGAAAATTGCTGACAATTGTGTGAAATGAAATCTCTCTTTGGTAGATTTATTTGGAGATTTATGAATTTTTTGGAAATATGAATAATTTCATTATGGCAGTCAAATATATGAATCGTCCCGTCAACAGTAATTTCAATGACCACACTTGACCCATGATTAAAAACAATTCAAGGATTCTCTTTTGTGGTAAATAATCAATTTGTCACATAAACAAATTCGTTAATTTTTCTATTCTGTTGAGAATTTGTTCAATTAATTGTTATAACTATTCAAATCGCTTGTATTAAGTACTGCATGTATTAAATACCTCATACTGACGATGACATTACTGGTCAATATTTCACCTATGTGTATAATATGTTGTGAAAATATTGAAATAGATTGAAATGTATATGGAACGTAGTGAGATTTTGAATATTCTGATTTATTCATTCCTAAAAAGCAAGGAACTAAAGTAATTGTATACAAAAATAAATTTAGAGTGGCTGCAAAAAATATGAGCAATATTTATACTCAATACATTTCATTTCCATATTTAGTATTAATTTACTATTAATTTTTTGCAATTATATGAAAGTACTAAATGAAGTATGAAGTACAATATACTTCAACCTGGTTAATATTAAATGCTATAACAAATGCACTAATTTCTTTTCAAGGCATTACATATATAAAAGTATGATATTGAACAAAAGCATATCGAATATATATATCGGCAGAATATATAAAAGATATAGTATTTTATTCAGCTCATTCTCGACATGACTTATAAAATTGCAATTAACATTTAATCTTCTCGGTAACTCCCATTTCCTTAAAATCATTCTTTAAAATCATCTGTCTTCCTCTCCTTCTATGAATTCAGTGATACATATCATAACTACGTTCAGCTGACGAAGTGTGTGAGCAGGTAAAACAGCTGCGAGGCTGAAAATGCTAGTGGTACTAGAGTTAATAATAATAGAGGCCGAAAATTGCAATAGAAGCATAATTTTGTTCGTTCGAATTTCGTCGCCGATTACCAGTTTCCTGTATACTGCACGAGGTAACATGTGCAAGATCCTCGTTTGATAATGTATTTAATACCATCACAAAAGAAATTCTAGAATGTCATTATTTTATGCATTGTTTCCTATATTAAATTGACAATTACGTGTAGACAGATCTCCATTTTATAATCGGCCATTTAACTGGTTATGGTAGGAATAAATATATATATATTTATATATATATATATATATATATACATTTATTTATTTATTTCATGTGGTGAGAGTGCGGAGTAAGCTCAAGTATGCTAGCGACGATTTTAACACCTGTGACAGAAAAGATTCGACAAGAGTACAGGAGTCAATCATGGAACAGATGAATACATGCCACTTACGCTGCAGAAGCTGCCTAGCGACAACTCGATGAGCTTTCCAGCTGTTAATTTCGTAGAGTTATTTGAAACAGCGAAAATCAGTATCAAACCGAGCGCTTTGCATCTGGGCAAACGGTACCAATCGATCATGTAGGCCGACAGACTGATACTCTTACACTGTGACATCAAGACACACGTAAATTCTAAA